GGCGGGGGACTCGGCTGCCCGCCGCCCGGCAGTGGGCTGGGTGAGGGGCTTCTTGGGGCGCGGGCACCCTAATTCTCCAGTGCCTCGACCTGTCCCCCCCATTCGTCCCTCCTCTCTGATGGCTCTGCCATGTCTTACAGGATGCCAGAAAAGCATGTGGGGATTCAACACTGACCCAGGTGAGAGTCGGAGCTGGGATCTGGTTTAGAGAAAGGGCGAGGATTTGAGGCATAGCGCTCGGTGGGGCCTTCTACCTCAACCTTCCTGAACCTTTGCTTGTCCCTCCAGATCACAGCTGGGCTGGACCCAGTGGGGAGAATCCAGATGAGGACACGGAGGACCCTCCGTGGGCACCTGGCAAAAATCTATGCCATGCACTGGGGAACAGACTCAAGGTGTGTGTGGCAGGGCTGGGCCTGTGAGCTGGTGTGGGCTGCCTTTAAACATCACAGATCCTGTGAGACAGACAGACTGCTATACTGCCCGAATGCGGGCAAACCATGGTTTCTTTGGGAAGACCATAATTTCTTACCCCACCTGGGTTGGTAAAAATGTGTTAGACAAGTAAGAACTCGGCTGCTGCTGGAGTTAGCTCAGAGGGGCTGCCCTGAGCTGAGGGAGGAGGGCTTCATGCCCTGACCCCTCTTCCTTGGCCCTGCCACTCAACAGGCTGCTGGTCAGCGCCTCCCAGGACGGGAAGCTCATCATCTGGGACAGCTACACCACCAACAAGGTAGAGGTTGTCCCTGTTGCAGAGTGGGGCTGACTGCAGCGCCCTGGCTGCCTCAGACCTTGGCACTGCCCCTCCTCTCCAGGTCCATGCCATCCCGCTTCGTTCCTCCTGGGTCATGACCTGTGCCTATGCGCCCTCAGGGAACTTTGTGGCCTGTGGGGGCTTGGACAACATCTGCTCCATCTACAGCCTCAAGACCCGTGAGGGCAATGTCCGGGTCAGCCGGGAACTGCCTGGCCACACTGGTAAGAGGGTCTTACCAGGTATGGGTGCTGTTGCTGGGATGGGGCTAAGCCTGTTAAGACCTGGCTGAGCAGCCTCGTTCCCCAGGGTACCTGTCATGCTGCCGATTCCTTGATGACAACCAAATTATCACCAGCTCTGGAGATACCACTTGGTGAGGCCTTGCTGGGGTATCAGGGCTAACTACCCCTCTTGCCTCTGGGGTCTCTGTCTTTGGTCGTTAGAAGTACTTACATACCCCTTAGGCACAACCCAGGGCTGTCTTCCTGTCCTTATAGACCTTGATGAGAGCAGGGAGGGTCTCCTTAAAAAGGCAGCTAGCATTCCTTTCCTGGAGGCATCTTAACAGCACTGGGCTCACCTGTTAGTCCAGTGGGGAAGCAGGGAGGAAGAAATCTTCCACCCCTTCAGTGTTTCTTTTATTCCTTCTTCCATCACTGTCACCACTCCAGTGCCCTGTGGGACATTGAGACAGGCCAGCAGACGGTAGGTTTTGCAGGACACAGTGGGGATGTAATGTCCCTATCACTGGCCCCCGATGGGCGCACCTTCGTGTCAGGTGCCTGTGACGCCTCCATCAAGCTGTGGGACGTCCGGGACTCTATGTGCCGACAGACCTTCATTGGCCACGAGTCCGACATCAATGCTGTGGCGGTGAGTTCTGAGGTCAATGCTGGTCTGGCCCTTTTCTCTGCCAGGCTTGGGCCTTGTCCTGCTCTCTTCAACCTGGTTCTGTCTCCTGCAGTTCTTCCCCAATGGCTACGCCTTTACCACCGGCTCCGATGATGCTACCTGCCGCCTTTTTGACCTTCGCGCTGATCAAGAGCTGCTCATGTATTCTCATGACAACATCATCTGTGGCATCACCTCCGTTGCCTTCTCACGCAGTGGCCGGCTGCTGCTTGCTGGCTACGATGACTTCAACTGCAACATCTGGGATGCCATGAAGGGCGACCGTGCAGGTGTGGGCCGGGGGGGTGATGGTGGTGGTGGGAGGCTGACACGTCTTCATAGAGGGCCCGGTGGTAGTGAAAGTGGAGGGCAGGGCCGGGGGAGCATACAGTTGAAATATCTTCTTCACAGGTGTCCTTGCTGGCCATGACAACCGTGTGAGCTGCCTTGGGGTCACTGATGATGGCATGGCTGTGGCCACAGGTTCCTGGGACTCCTTCCTCAAGATCTGGAACTAACTACCCCAACCCCAAATGGGCCCAGGCTGGGAGGGGCCCTGCCCATGCCCACACTACAGGCCGGGAGCTCTGGGACTGGGTGCACCAAGCCTCCCTCCCCGGCGGGCGATGAGGCCTTGGGTCCCCACACTCCGCCCAGGTTTGGTTCCTCCCAGGGGCCCCCACTGTGGAGATAATGATGAGAATAGAATTGGGGTTAAAGGAGGGGCAGAAAGCCTGCCTTCTGCAGCCCTTGGGTTGGGGGGGGGGTCTCATCCCTCTGGAGGGCCAGAGGCAGGAACTCCAGGGGCTGGCTTTTTTAAAACTGGTTTTATTTTAATTTTTATTATATTTTCAGTTTTTCCATAAAGGAACCAATTCCAACTCTGCCTGGGCGCTGCCATGTGTCTTTAATTTCTGGTTCTTGAGGGTTAGGGACTAGGAGCACCCCCATCCTCCCTTGGGACTTGTCTACAGACATGTTCTTACACATCCAGCCCTTAGACCTCTTACCCACCAGGCCAGGGGGGCTTAACTGCAGCTTCCAGCTGTGATAGCTCTACCCAAGCAATCCCCTTTCCCCAAATCAAGACAGCAGCAGAGGCACAGACAGAGGGGGGGGGAAATCACACACCAAGTTTTATTGGGGGGGGAGAAAAATATTTACAGGCCTCGGTAAAAGAAGGGGAATCACATGGGGGAGGGAATAGGAAGATTGGGGGGGTAAGAGATACACAATAGCCCCTGCACCGATCCAACCCCCGGGGAGTGGCGGTGGGGGGCTGGAGAGCAGCTGGGGCCCAGGAAGACTGGGATCAGAAAAGAAAGGACAGCAATGGAGTCCCTGGGCTGGAGGGCTCAGGGGCTTGTAAACATTGACCACTCTCAGAAGGGGATGGGGGTGGGAGAGGGCTCCCCCTACACTTCCTCACAGGGTTAAGGCCTCTCCAGGCTCAAGGGCCCCCAAAGTTCAGTCTCTTCAGCTGAGGGGAAGGAAGAGACAGGGAAGGAAAGAGTTTCATGCCCCTCCCCCTGCATTGGCTGTGGCAGGGGTGGGCGGGTTACATTCAGTCACAACAGTAGTCCCCCTGCCCCTCTAATGCCACCAAATACTGGTGAGAGGAAAGGGGGGAGCTGGAGGGCCAGCAGCAGCAAGACATTTCCCCCTGGCCCATCACCCCCTTATTGCTTTAGAGAGAATATTGTCTTTTCACGGACATTAACACTGTTGAAACCAGGGAGAAGCAGGTGGAGGGAGCCCTTCAACCCCCACGGCCAGCTTTGTTCCCCAACACTGACCTAGTTGCCACTTTGGTGCAAAAAAAAAAGTCTCTCTGGGGATGGACAGGGTAAGGGAAAAAAAAAGGGGAGAAGCCGCTCCCCTTCCCCCAGGACCAAAAGGGGAAATACATTCATGGAGGGGAGGCAGTGGCAGAATCTTGCCCTAATACTGCACTCTGAGCAATGAGGTCGATGGGAGCAGTCAGAAGAGAAACCAAAATGATTTTTTTAAAAAAAGGATGGAGACAAAGCAAGTAGGTAATTAGGAGTAAGAAGTCAGGGGAAATAGAAAGGGCGCCTGCCCCTAACTGAGGAGACAGGAGTTTCCATTCTCAACCTCCAACCCATTCAGCATTAAAAACTAGTCAAGGGCGGGAGAAGCAGAAGGAGGTCGCTCCTCTCCCATTTGGTCATCAGAGGGTATACAGCCCACTCAGCGGGCAGAAGGGAGGAGGCTCCCTTTACCACCGCCCCTCCTGCCACCCTCTCCCCCGCACCGCCCCCCTCCCTTACCCCCCTTCATAGGAGAAAACGACTCAGTCCATCAGCTCCTCAGCTCTGTCAGGTACCTGCGGCTCCTGAAGATGCCTCTGCTCCTGCCCTGCCCTGCTCACGGGTGAGGCAGAGGCTGTGGCCCAAAGAATACATTCATCTGGCAAGGCAGGGAGCCGGGCTTTCAGCCGTCCCCCCAAATGGCAGTAGTGGGGGAAGCCCAAACCAGGGCCAGAGTCAAACAAAGTTCCACCGCCCACGGCCAGATGAGGTTGGCACTGGCCTGCCCTTTCCCATCTACCCCTACCAGCCCGAGCAGGACGCAGCCTGGGAGTGGAGGCGGCTAACCGGATTTGTGCAACTTTTCCCCCAAAGCAGCAAAGCCAAGGGGCTACTTTGGCTCCCACCTGGGACGCCTCTGCCACAGTCATAGCAATACGGGAGCTGTTCACAGCGGGTCCGGCGGCGGGGCTCCAAGGGGGCCTCGCTGTGCAAACTGCTGGCCCCCCAGCTTCCAGTTACCCCAAGGTCCTTTTTCCAGGGGTAAGGAGGGTAAGTACAGCCTCAGGGGGGCAGGCAGGACAGATTCGGGGGGCCTATATCCCCACTGCCCAAAGATTAACAGTGTGTTTGTTTTCTTTCAATCTCCTTTTTTTCTTACTATTTTTCTTCTTTTTTTTCTTTTTCTTAAAAAAACAACAAAAAAACCCCAAAAAATAAACAAAAAAAAACTTCTGTGGACCTTCCACTGTCACCTCACTATCCCCAGAGATGGGGATGGGTATTTAGAGCCTAGATTGTAGCTTTTATTGTCTCTCCTAACGTTTTCTTCATTATTTAAAAATTTTTAAAAAAACCAACCAACCAAAAACTAAACAAAAAACCCTTCCCCCCAATCTGTAAAGTGCCTCGTGGTGGGTGAGTTAAGGTGCGTCGTGTTGTTTGTTAACAAGTGCTGGGGACCCTGCCCCTGCCTCCTCCTACACTCCTCGTGGGGAGCCTGCAGGCTGGGGACCCAGGGGTCCAAGCTGCTGCCGCTGCCCCTGGCCTACAACCCAGGGGGCTGGTGTGGGCCAGGCTGGTCAGTAGTCATCCACGCTCTCGATCTCACCAGAAGATCCGTGCAGGGAGTACCCTGAAGCCAGGGAGGAAGCGGGGTTGGAGCACGTCCCTGGGCTTTTCCTGCTGGGCTGGTGGAGGAGCCTCCTGCCCCTTCCCAGCCTCTAACCTACCCAAGATGCTGGGGTCCGAATGCAGCATCAGTGCCCGCCGCTTGGCCTTGCTGCCCTCCCCAGGGCCGAGCTTGGTGCTGTGGTTGGTCTGAAAGGCTGTCTGTAGGGAGGCACTGCTCAGCCAAGCCTCCTGCAGGGCAGAGGAGAAGCACTGTGAGAGGGAAGGTGGCAAGGCCACACACCTCCCTCCCTGCCCAGCCAGGTGCTACTGCTGTTGATGCGACTCCACCTTGCACCACCCACCAGCCAAGGCCTCAATAAACTACCTGCTGCTGCTGCTGCCGCTGCTGGCTGGCTTTCTGCTTGGCCCTCCGTTCCAGGAACTGTTTGGCAAATTCTTTGGCTTCCAGTGTGTCCCCCAGGCAGGAACGGATATAATCATGGACATCGTAGGGAGACTCCACTTCCTTAAGGATTGCGACAGCCATGGGCACTACGGGGTGGAATGGGGCCAGCAGCAAGGCCCACTTGACTCAGGTCTAGAACCCCAGCCCCCTGCCCAGTTGGCACCCCCTGCTCAGTGGGCCCATCACCCCATTCAGCCAGCTTCCTGCTCAACTAGTACCCCCTTGCTCAGCAGGTACCCCACCCCATCCATCCAGCCTCCTGCCCAACCAGTACCCGCTACTCAGCAGGGCCCCTTCTCCACCCAGCCAGCCCTCTGCCCAGCCTCTAGTACCATCCAGGCTGCCCGTGGTGCTCAGCGTATGCAGCATCTGCTCACACCACTGGGTGAAGCCGTCCTGGGGCCTGGGGATACCCTGCAGCAGCTTCAGCAGCTTCTCCTCCTCCTCCGTCTTTTTGCGCACGGGCCGACTGGAAAGGTGGCTGTACGAATCACTGAGGGGAAAGGGAGCTAGGAGTAACAACCGGGCTCAGGTGTCCTGTGTGCTTCCAGCCCCTGCCCTCCAGGCCCAGCACCTACCTGAGAGATGGACTGCTCCGGCTGTTCTTTAGGCCGAGGCTGCGGGCCAGGCTACTGCTGCTTTTGAGGGTGTCCTCCCAGAGTCCCAGGCTACTGCTGCTGCCCCCACTCTTGTCGGGCCCGCCCCAGAGTGGCCCGGTCTCAGCTACCCACTGCGACAGGGGGGCAGCGCCCAGGCCCCCAAGCTGCTACAGATGGCAGGAAATCAGGGTGGTCCAAACAAGGGGACCCAAGAAAGCCAGGCAGAGGGACTGGTTTAGGGGCAGAGGCTGGGCAAACTGAAGTCTATGGCGAAAGGGATTCTTCAGAGTGAAGTAAGAGGCCAGGGATGCAAATATCTGGGTTCAGTGATTCCCCTTTATCCCCCATGTCACCCAGGAAGCTGACTGGTCCGGGTTCCCAAGGGTGTGGCCTGCTTACCACGCGGTGGTTGGGGGCCTGGGCCCTTGATGACTCCCGAGGTGGGGGCTGCTTGTGGAGTTGCCGCTCGCCCTCCAACTGCAGCTCTAGCAGGGTCTTCATGGAGAGTCCCTGCTTGGCCAGCCCAGCCCAGAGTGGGGGCGGGGAGCTGGGAGCTGGGGGGATGGCGCTGGCAGCCACGGCCTGCTGCTGCTGAAGCAGCTTGAGCAGCAGCTCCTGCTGCCGCACCTGAACCAGAGACACAGGTAAGGGCCGGCCAGGCTCAGGCGCAGGCAGCCTACAGGGCTCTCCCGGGCCCCACCTGTTTGCGTCGGAACAACTCCTCTTCCTCCTGTCGCCGCTTCTGCTCCTCTTGCTGCTGCTGCTGCTGCTGGCGCCGCTTCTCTTCCCGGCGCTTCCGCTCCTCTTCCTCTCGCTTCACCCTGAGCTCCACTTCTCTGCGCTCCTGGAACTGGCACTGTAGGACAGTGACGGTAGGCATGACGCCTGGGAAAGGCCAGTGCGTCCCGCCCTCAACGCCGGGACTCTAGCCCCTAGACCGCTTACTCACTTTATGCTGCAGCTGGAGTTGTTCGAGAATTGGACCCTGAGTCAAAGAGTTAATTGGTATGTCCCAAAGACTGGCCTCACCACCTGCAAGGCACAAAGGCAGCTTCAGGAGGAACCCTGGCCCCTCTGGTTTCGTCCAATGGTCTGGCTCATCCACAAAACATCAACAGAACAGCACTGCGGGGGGTGGGACAAGCCCGGGGTACCCTACTCACCCAGGGGCTTCCAGGGGAGGTAGTGCTGGACAGGTGGGGGCAAGGAACTGGGAGAGACGAGATCTGGCCAGCCACCCACCTGACTGTGATGAGGCTGAGGTATGTACATCCCAAAGGGGGCTTGAATCTGGCACCGACAAGGAACGATTCATGGTCGGGAGCAGGTTCTGGTCCCCACCTCTGAGGAACAAACCATCAATTCTCAGGCCCTACGTGGACTCCTCTCCTTCTCCCTCTCCCTCTGCCACATCCTGGGTCTTGAACTCACACACGTTCCCTAAAGAATCTCAAGGAGAGCAACGGGCCCACAGACCTGGGGGGTTTGAGAGCCTGGAGCTGCTGCAGGAATGCGGTCAGCTGCTGCTGCTGTGGCGGCGGCAAGTCTCCCAGAGCTGCCTTCTCCCGAAGCGTGCACGGTGGGAGCTGTCGGCTACGGGGACACAGTAACGGGCGGGAGAGGCTGGTGCCAGGCTCGGCCAGTACTCCAGTCCTGCACTCCAGCTCCCCCAGGGCGCTCGTCTGTACCTGCTGACCAGCTGAAGAAACTGCTGGTGCTGCAGCTGCTGGTACAAGGCAGCCGCTGCCAGCTCCTGTTGCTTCTTCAGTCTCTCCTGATCCATGTTCCCCTACACAGAGAGTGAAAGCAATCCCAGTATGAACGGTGCGAGACGGGGCATGGTGGCCGCTCCTGGGGACTTGGCAGCTTCATCCCCCTCCTCCGGCCTTCCCCTCAATCCCCAGGATCACCCCTCCCACGCTCACCAGCAGCGGAGGTGGTGAGGGCCCTGGGGCAAAGGGCACACGGCCCCACATCTTGATGACCTCACCCAAAGGCTGGAAACCCTCATCACAGCCCCGCTTCACAAGCAGTGACATTGAGAAATAGCCGGCCTGGAACCACTCTGCCATTTCCTGTGTTGTGAAGGGGCCTGGACAGGAGAGGGCAGCAGGGCAGGAGACAAGACACTGGAGCGAGGAGACAAGCCCGAGAGCCCCAAAAGCAGGACCTCCATGGCCCAGCATGCCTCCTGCTGACCCTCCACAGGTACCTTGGATCTCCCCCTGCGGGTCCTTGTAGAACCACTTGCGGGCAGCGCCATGGCTAAGAGGGAGCGCGGTGGCGGCTGCAGAGTGGCGCAGGCCCTGTGTCTGCATGGCGGCTGTGAACTGCTCCTCCTCCAGGGAGCTGTCCTGGAGGGACGCCACCAGCTTCTCCGCTTCCTGTGAGGCCGACAAGAGAGGCCCGGCTCAGCCGCCCAATCACAGCAACAGGAGCGTGGGGCTGGGGTTGGACTCAGGTCAGGCCAGAGATGTGGCAAGACAGGACTGGGGGAAAGCTTAGAATCTGGGGCTGGGACAGAAGGAAGAACAGATCTTTATCCCTTTACAGGGAAAGTGCCTTCGTGCTTTCTTCAGTCCCCCCTCACACCTGCTGCAGGTGTTTCAAGCCTTCGTCGTCTTCCAGGTCTCCAGGTGGGCCGGGAGGTGAGCCTACCGCATGACTAAGCTGGATTCCCCTCGTCTCATCTCCTACAAGTGAAAAATGGAAGTTACTGGCCTATGTACCACCATTTGAGAAAAACAATCTTTAGCTACTTCTAGAAAAAAAACTTGACCAAAACAAACCCCCCCCCCCCTTCTCCTCTCTACGAGGAGACGGAGCAGCCTCTCCAATCCGGCCACACAGATGGAGCTGCCCGGCCCTCTGTTACCTTCAGCTGCAGGCTGCTCTTTCTCCACAGCCTCGTCACCTTCCCCATTAGTGCTCCAGAGAGGGCCCAAGGTGGGCAGAGGGGAAGGGGAGCTGGACTTCTCCTGAAGAGGCAGGGGGGTCAGTTCCTTCCCACCTGAAAGAGAAGCACAGTAACCAATGTTCCAAAGCAGAGAGCTGGCAGATGTTAAAAAAAAATATTTTTTAAATTCCAATTCATAGTATCTTTTTTGTTACAGCAGATCTGCTCTATGAGGTCTGCCTGGCAGCGATCCTTAAGGAAGCAGAGAGCAGACTACCCTAACTCTACATGGATTTGAATTATCAGCCTATAATCAAGTAGAAACCATTTGTACTGCCTAAGACCTGCTTACATCAGAAGGTCATGCTGAGAAAAAGAAAAAAATTATTTAAGACAAACTCTCCAGTTGCGGCCCCAGCCTGGGCCTCCGGCTGGGTCCATCAAGTGCCCATTTACCTTTGGTCAGCTCAACTAATACTCGGTGACTCAGCACCACTAGTCCCACAGCGCTCACTCAGCTTCGCCCTGTACAATTCAGGCCACATGCTGCATGTGACTTGTCACCGTACCGGACGACATATAAATACCGGGGAGCCTGTTCTGTGCTCTAGGGCTCTTCAAAGGATTCTCAAAAGGTCACTCTGACTGTGTGATGTGTATCTGACACGCTGCCTTTATAAAGCTCTGTTGTTTCTGGATTCCGGCCCCAGAACTGCCAGCACCTGCTTTTCTCTCCTTTCGAAGCAGGTGGGGGACCACCCTACAGGTGGGGGACCAGCCAGCACTGTCTGGTCAGGGACCCCTGCCCACCTGCCCACCGCTGTGCTTCTTCCTCCCTTACCAAGCACTCACCTGCCTCGGTCCCCTCCTCATCCAGCCCTTCTGAAGGCTCATCCTCCTCTTCCTCAAGACCCTGGAAGTCCAGCTCCTGCTCCTCAGGAATGGGTTCCTTGGGGCCCTTCTGCATAGGTCAGGGGAGATGATGGGAGGTCAGGGGGGCCGAGAATGGATGGGTCCGAGCGAGAGGACCCAGCCCACCAACCTCTTAAGAAAAATCTCCCCCTCGCCTCCTCACTGATACCTTGAGAGGCAAGAAGGCCCCAGAGGCATCAAAGGTGCCCATTGCTTCATCCTCATCGTCCAGGCACCACTCCGGGAGCCCATCCTTGTCTTCATCAAAGCCTTCGGGCCCTCGGCACCTCCGCAGATGAGAGCTGCCCCCCCCACCCCGCCCCTCCTCTTCACCACACCCTCCTCGATCCCCTCGCAAATCAAATTCAAACTTGCGACGCCGTTCCCCATGTTCCCGCCAGCCAGCAGAGCGGGGGCCGCCATCTGGGCAGGAAAAGTTGGAGGAGAAGGAGAATCGGTACCCGAGTCAAGCCAAAGTCTCCACTCTTCCGCTGCCCACCAGGATACCCCTAACTACTGTTATTTCCGGGGTTACTTCCTGTCCACCCCCACTCCAGAAGGCTCTCTGTTCCCTCCTCTCGGCCACTAGGACCCCACCCTCGGGAGACTGTTCCTGCCTCCCCCCAGTGCAAAGCCCACCCCAATCTCACCAGGGCTGGCTGAACGCCAGCGATCCCCATCTCGTCGGGGGCCTGCCCCTGCTCTCCAGCTGCCCTCCTCTTCCTCTTCTTGCTCTTCTCTTAGAGAACGCCAGTTCTCACTGTCTGAGCGGGCATGCTCTTTGCGAGGGCCTGCGCCCCCCTCTTCAAAGCCAGACCGCGCTGTGGGGGGAAATGGGGTTATCCTTAGCAGGAGGGCAGCCACAGCCCCTGGAAGAGTCCTACTATTAACCTCACTGCTAAGTGGAGAGCCCAGCTCCAGGTCTCCTGGCCTGCCCTCTTCCCCAATAAACACACTGACTGTTCCATGGAGTGCAGGTCTCGGAGAAGGTGTAACCACAGTACTCCTTAGAAGAAAGCATGTTGAACCTTTGTGTCACATACTTGGGACATGCTGTTAGGTAGGTTAGTCCTCGGGGAGAGACATCAAATTTGAAAAGATGGAGGGAATGAAGAAAAGGAAGATGCTCAACAAAGATTGACTGACTAAAGCAGAGGGATCACAAACGAAGACTGCAAAACAGGACAGGGTTCACTTGACTCGACAGTACGTCTAATATCAACAACAACAACAACTGGGCCCTTCCACTTCTACCATGCTTCCTCCTCCCCGTACCCCTCCACATCCCTCCATACCTCCGTCCCTCCTTGCTGATTTCTCAAATCGTCTCTCGCCTCTGCAGAAGGTACAGGCATTAGTCAAGGCAGCCCAGCTCCCCTCTCCCCAAACCACATGATCTCTGCACACCTTGTCTGTTCTATCTGAGGAAGGTGACTGGGCAGAAGGAACTAGGGAAAAGTCAGGTTTTTTGGAAGGGAACCCACTGCAGCACAGAGCAGATGGTGACAGGGACAAATGGATCTTAAGGGAACTGGAAAGGAATGGGACGAGATGGGAAAGGGGCATGGAGGTCTCTGATGAGGTCTCACGTGGCAGTCTGGTGAGCGACACAGACCGCAGCCTCTCTCCACAGGACCCGCTAAGACCTAACCCTGGAGCTCTTTCTGCTTTGCCTCAGCCCACACCTGTCATCCCAACTCTGGCTACGCTGGATCTCCCGGGGGTTCCGTCCAAAGGCCCCCTCGCCTTCTTCAATGCTTCTTTGGTAAAAGCAGCTGTCACCTCGGCCACGGCCTGGAGAAGGGATGCGGTGCATACAGAGAACTAAACAATGGAGAATGACCAGAGAAACTCTGCCCACCCCCTAGAAGATATAAACAGCCCCCTCTACCTCGGCTTCTCGTACTGCCCCTGCCACGGGAGGTGCCGCCTTGGGGGGGCCCAGCTCCTTTCCCCATTAGCCTTAGCACAGCCACACTGTTCACTGACAGGGAGAAGTTTCTCTGAGGAGGGAGCCAGGGACAGAAGTGAGGACCAGGCACCAAGCCTCCACCCAGCCCTTGTGCAGAACCAACCTCCACCATCTATCATCACAGTGTCGGTCCCCCTCCTCTAACCCCCGCTGCCTCGTTCGCCAAGCCCCGGCCCCACCTGCTCCTCCTCAGTCAAAGGCTCCAGTGCCAGAGGCTGCAGCGGCTCCTCCTGTAACACTGCAGCCAGCTCCTTGTCCTGCAGCTCCTCAGGGACCTAGCATTTGGGGCAAGGATGGGGGGGTGAGGTGTAAACCCACATGCTCCTGAGCCCTCCTCACCAGCCCAGGTCAACAAACCATTTGGCTTGTACACCTCGCGCACCCACCTTATTCTCCTTCACGTAGAGGGCCAGCATCTCCTCTCGCCCATAGCGATAGTCAGCGAGCTTGTACTTGGGGATGGCAGGGGATGGGGGCGGGGAGGCCACACTGCCCCCGCTAGATAGGGCTCTCAGCCTAGGAAAGGTACAGAGGGGAGGAATAAGACAGGATAGTGTGGTACTCCTCATGCAACTTTGCCACGCCATCCGAAGGACACTGGCCTTACCACTCAGGCCCAAAGTTGAGGGTCTCTGCTGCCATTGTGGAGCGGGGTGTGTTTCCTTGAGGTCCGAGGAAGTGAGCAGAGGAGGAGATGTGGTGGTCACGCTCCAACAGCTGTGGGTGCACAGGGAGCAGTGGGGCCTTGGAGAAGAGAACCTCTAGAAGGTCAGCAACAAGTACGGCACCTCGGTGGACACAGGGGCAGGTGCCCTCTGGCCTTGGGGGAGAGACCTGAAGAGCTGGGCTCTGAAGAGCTCACCTGAGCCAGCAAGTGGCAACTCACACCATGAGTTATCCAGAGATGAATCAACAGAACAGACAAGACCTGGGGGAGGGAGAAAACAGGGAAGCCTGAGCTCCTCCCAGTCTCTTCAGGGCTTCCATGTAGGTACCAGCCTCTCCCACCTGCCCCAGACCCACCTGAAGCCTTGCCCCAAAAGCAGGTAGGGCAGGGCTGGGGTCTCTTCAGGCCGGGGCCTTGATGGAATGAACTAGTGTTCCCAAGTTACTGGATACTGGTCTGACCTCAGGCGTGACTGGGGAGGAACCTTTACATCTGGGAAGATCCTTAAGAAGCAAAAAGAGAAGGCAGATTAACTGAAGGGGTTAGACAGGACTCCCTGGCCCTGCCTCTCCTATCCTGCAGAACTGTAGAGGGCACAGGCTCCCGGAGGCAGCTTGTCACCCAGCACAAGAGGCCATGGGCCCCACCCCATCTCATCTGTCCTCCTTTTTCTGCCTCATGAAGAAGTTAGTTCCTTCAGCAAACCCCAAGGGTCCATAATGGACAAACAGAAAGCAAGATGCTGGAGGTAAGGCAAAGAATATGCAGGCCCAAAGAGAGTAGCAGGACAACATCGGGTAAGAGGGGTGATTAAAACATATATAGATACTCAGAACAAAAATAAAACCAGGTCCTGGATAAGGCCCTGGACAGATCAACTACTGGAGTCATAAATATACTAACCTAAAAAAAATTAAAACTTAATTATGGAGAAACTAATGTGAATATAAAACTACTTTCCCTGTGGAAAAAATCAGAGTCTGCTACTTAAGAGGCTGGAGTCCTGACACTCAGCCTGGAGAGGAGCCTAAGAAGGACATTAGAGGGGACAATTCCAACGTCAAGGATGAAGCACACATTGCAGACTCCAGGCAGGGCAACCTGGGCCACAGCATACCAGGGCACATACAACAATCAGAGCCTGTCCCCATGACTAGGAAAAGTCGATCACAGAAGAAAAAGCCCAGGCAGGAAGCATCACTATATTAAAAGCTGGAGGGAAGTTATCTTATAGGAAAAGAAAACAGAATCAGTTACTTTATTTCTGCTTTTATATCGCAAGAGGCAGCAGCAGCGATCTGGTCCTCTAAGGATAGACAGAAGGGGCACGCAGGAGGCTCATTCCCCCACAGCTTCCAAGCAGAGGTGAAGGTGGGGTCTCAGGAGGCCACTATGGCTGGTCAGTGGCTGGGAGGGAGGACGGAGCAGTTCTCCTCCACAGCACTCATCAACTCCAACAGGACACCCCGACTCTGTGAGGGAAGGAGGAAGAAGGGTTTCACATGAGGCATCAAAAGAAAGAGGTGCTCTCCCTATGGCTGGGGTGGAGGTCTACACACAGAGTTCACAGCATGTCAGGGAGACCAAGGCACTATGGAGAAATCTCTACCAGAGCCTCTGGGGCATCTCAGGGATGGCACAGGCCACATCTCACAAGGCCACTGGAAGAGACAAGCCTGTCCAGAGTCGTTCTTCCCAGTGAATTAAAGTAGGTCTCCCAGATCATCAGAGTTAAGGGTAGTTCTTCCCCTTCTCCACAACCCTTAAGGTTATTTAGGGGAACCGAATGCCTATCTGGAAGATCTGGTGCCTTAAGTGGTAAGAAGTTGAGCTGCCATGTCAAAGGTATTCAGTTTGAATCCACCAGTTGCTCAGCGGAGAAAAATGGGCAGTCTCCTCCTGTGCAGTTTACTGCCCTTGAAAACCTGCTGGAGGGTCAGCTATGAGTCACAACTACAACGCAGATCTAGGAAGTTCTGGTCATCTGGTGGTAAGAAGCTGTGCTGCAATCCCAAGGCATGCAGTTTGAAACCACCAGCTGCTCTGCGGGAGAAGGATGGGCGGTCTCCTCCTGTGTACTTTACTGCCCCCCCAGAACCCCACTAGAGGGTCCATTCTGACTTCAGGGTACCTAACAATATAACAATGCATCCTGAAGTCTTCCTCATTCCAGTGAAACAGCCCATATTCCTTCTAGCAAACTTTGAGTGAGTTTGTTTTGTAAAACCTACTAGCCACTTGGCTTTAGAAGAGCCCCTGTGTTCTAGGACAATAGACCAAGTCCCGCAGGCATCAATGGGCTGAGAACACACCTTCTCCCGCTTCCAGGGCGTGGCAGTGGGAGTGGTCCTTGAGCTTCGGCTTCTTGCCTTCACCTCTATCCTAGTGGAAGGAGCAAGCAGAAGGGAAGGCTCACACCAGTGAGAGAGGAGGCAAACCACAGGGGCAAGGGAAAAACAGGCGGGTGGAAAGGAAGCCCAGGCAGGAGAGGGCCAAAGTAGTCCCACTGTCTTGGAGGAACCTGGGAGACTGAGGTCTCTGGACCAGGTGGATAAGGGTTTGGTCCCACAAGCTGGGTGGCTACCTGCTCCTTCCTCAGACTCAAAGAACAACTGGAAAGATGCACAACCACCCCCTCAAAACTGGGGTACAGTCCTGCTCCCCAGAGGACATCTGGTAGACACTTCTCACAGCCGCAGCCAGAGGGAAGTTGCTACTGGTTTCCAGTGGGTGGAGGCCAATGAAGCCATTCACCACCCTGCAGAACAGCCACTATGATAAAGAATTACCGGGCCCCAAATATCAGCTACGCCACTATTTAAAAACTCTCCTCTGAGCTATGAGCGCTGTTAACTAACACTCAGTCTTGTGTTCACAAGGAAGAGAGGAAGACGAGAGAAACCTCATTTACTCCTCTGGACAGAAGGAAAATTATTCCCTTAGACAGTGCCTCATGGGAGAAAATCTTTGAGAAAACAGATTAAAACCAAATAGATTATCCTAAGTTTCTTTATCAAAAATGGCCAAACCAAGCCACTGATGCATTTGGAATCCTTTCCTATGGAGGACAGCTGGGAAGGCAGAGGGCTGAGAACTGCCTTGCATATATTCCTGTCCACTTTCTCTAATGATCTCCTGTGACCCCTGTCCATTTCACCCGCCACCTCTCTCTGCCCTGCCCTCACACTGCCTTGACCCAGTCTATCTCATCTCTTTTCTCTCTCTCTTCAGCCTCAATACACAGGTGGCACACGACTTATGGGCTTGCCTATTAACCAAAATACTGCTAGTTTAAATTCAGCAGCTCAGCGGGAGAGAGGCTTGGCAATGTGCTCTTGTACTGACTACCTACCACCTAGGAAAGTCTAGAGAACAGGGTCACGGGGGTCACTGTGAGTCAAAATTAACCTGAAGGCACCCACCAAGATGCTCTCTCCTTCACCTCACTTCCAATTACCATTGAAAGGCTGCCCCCTGCCGGAGACTGGAGGAGACACACTAGTCCTTAGTGCTCACCAGCTGGAGGTGGAGGAAGCCAGGTCTGGGGTTCAGAACCCAAGGGAGAAGGAAAAGACCCAGGCATAGGGGCCCTAACACACATTCAATAAGGAGCACCAATCCTCACCCCATCACCTCTGTAATTAGTCCAATCCAGAGGGGTGTCCCCTGGCACAGATTTAACAGAAGGAGCAACCCAAACTCCCCAGCATTTGGAACAATGACCCGGCCCCAGCTCTGTGGGGGTGACTCTCAGGATGGAAAGGCTGACACTCCACTGGGCAAGAATGCTGAGGCTTCAACGGAGGCTTAAGACTGTGCCCTCTTCACTACTCTCTGAGCCACGTGAAAACGAAAAATGTCCCTTGGCACCTGTACACTATTTACCTGTTTTCAGGTCACTATTAACTCACCCGGCCATTAGCTTGGTCTTGGGTTTCAGCCAGGGAAAACAAGGAAACTGCCCAACAGGGTCCCCTGACCCCCTTCAACACGATCCAAGCGCAGAGAAGGCTGGCCCAGCCCAGTGTCCCAAATGCTCGAGCTTTATTTTGTCCGTTTCAAATCACTTCTCCTCCTCCTTGGGTTCAACCCTTCACCTAGTCTCCTCCTTTCACCTGCTCTTAAATGGAGCCAGTTTCTCTACCACAAAGTCCCACACCACAGAGAGAAAAAAAGTCAGACCCAACTGATTCCTGCAGCCATCACAACACACAGGAGTGCAGCCACTGGCTGGAGCGAGCGAAGGCTCAGTACACAACTGACTACCGACAGGCACCATATGGGACCCACGAGGCAGAGGCAGGAATACAAAGTTCAGGTTTGTCCCCAAACCTTTCCCAGTTATGTGACAAACACAAGACACAAACCTACAACTGAGGGAAAAGTACTGGAGCTGGGGCGCAGAGAGTGGCCAGCGACTGCAAAGGAACCTGTAGAGAAGGGGGGGGGGCAAAGCCCACACTGGGAGCAGCGGGATGAGGGCTGCTCTAATAACTAACTGAAGGTTTCAGTTCCAAAGGCAAGGGGGGCAGGTAAGTTGAAACTGGTGTGTTAAGCCTAGAGGGGCGGCGGAGAGGCTGGGGAGAGGCAGGTGAAACCTCGGAAAACAGCACTTTTGAGAAGAGTAACAGGGGAGTAAGACTAGGGTGGGTGGAGACAAGAAGCAGCCAAGTATGCATTTAGCATCCACCAGTGCCAAGCACTGTGATGGAAGAGACTGGAAGCTTACTGGGGATTCTAGTAATGACGGGGGGGGGGGGCAAAGCCTAAAGAAAGAAGGGTGCTCTCTGCAGGTACTTGGAGAAGGGCGAAGCGTGAGGGGGCTGTGGCCAGGGAGCTGCTGCATCGGGGGAGATGGGCCGGGAAGCTGGCAGAGAGGACCTAGCTAACGATAGAAAAGGAGGCTGTTGCGTGGAATCCGCAGGAAGGAGACCCTCAATGACCAAGTCTGAATGTGGCTGGCTGACAGGTTATGCTG